TAGTGTCGAAAATTCTGCCACTGTCGTCGGGACTCGAACCCAGGACCTTCCGATCAGAGGGGCTGCAGTGAGATCAGTTGATGGCCTGGGACATCACTCCCGGTTTTCGTCTCGACATAGAGGTGTTCGTCCCCCGCTCGTTAGTGACCTCCGGCGCCGACCTACAGCGCAGAAGGCGAGGCGAAGAGTGACGCGGTTCTCTAACTTAAGCAGCTCCCGCGTGGACTGAGGGTGATAGCAGCGGGAGGGCATTCGGGCGGCGAACGGGCGGAGGACGCGGCAGCGGAGTGGCGGGAGGATGATGCCCGTGGGCACGAAGGCTCGCTCCACGGTGATGAAGGCGGCTAGGTGGGGCAAAAGCATGGCCGGACCAAGAAGGGGTCGATAATCGCGATGGGTCTGAGAGGGGACAATATCGGAGCCTAAGAGAGCTAATTTCGTGTTTTCGAGCGCAACAACTGCTACGGAGATAATCCGAAAAATAGTTCAGTCGATATGCACATTTTCCTGGAAAAAAGTCATATATTTGTTTTCTTTTGTATGCCACATGTACTCAGACACTAATTAAACCCCATGTTTTTAACCTCCCAGACCCTGTGCTAATTCCGGGAGGACCGTTGTTTTATGAGTTTTTTTGATTTTATTTTCTCTATAACTCTTTACGTTCTGTAGAAAAATGATTCCATCCATTTTTAAAAAGTTTTGAACTCCCTACAACTTTTGTATGAAACACTTTTTTCGAAACCAATTAATAAGAAAGCTACTGCTTTTCAAAATAATCCTATTTTTCATTACTCTAAAATTTGTGTAAAAATACACATGCCATACACAATCATATAGTCAACTTATGATAAATATAATTATTAATACTAGTAATACAATTATTTATCTCACCGTCAATGTAAACATTGCCTAAAATGTACCCACTGTCGAAAACATTAATATACAAAAAATCATGGACATGTGTGCAGGGTCCCACGATCAATCCACCGCCCTCAATATACAACTCGCCCCAGCACAATCTCCTGCCCTGACTCCTACTGTGTCTATGTCTTTATCTTCTACCTCGCTTCTGCCCCGCCCTCACCGCCACCCCTGCCTCAGCCCTCGCATCCACCCCTGCCTCCACACTCGTATCCACCCCTGCCCCCTCTTTCGACTCCGTCCCTTCCTGTGCACTCGCCGTCGTCCCTACCTCCGTCCCTGCCTCCGCCCCTCGCTTCCACTCACGGTTCCGCCTGCACCTTGAATCCGTGCCTTGCCACGCCATTGCTTCAGCCTCCACCTACGCCCTCGCCGTCGCCTTCGTCCCGTCCCTGCCCCCACTCCCACCTCCCTCGTTGATTACGCTCCGGCTCCCCTCCAGTCTCCGTCCCCGCCCACGCACCATCCCCGCCCCATACCCTTTCCCGCCATCCTTCGTCCCCGCCTCTCCTCTGCCCTCTCTTCACCCCCCCCCAACCGCCCCGACAACCCCTCCTTCACCCCCGTTCCACCTCTCACTTCCGCTCTCACTTCCGCACTTTTCTCAACATCACATACGCCATGCAAATTTAGTAATTAACAGTTTATTTATCGAAAATGTTAAACGCCCGTAAAAACACCTAGCGACACAAGAATGTACAATTTTTGTAACAACAATTTGGTTCTCTAATATTGAATGAACAAAAGCATATTTCTGGAAATACCGCTATCCAGATCTCATATTTTTATACATGCAACATTTTGATGTCATCCAAAACGAGTAACTCTGTCCAAAACCTGAAATATGAAATCAATAAACTAAAGTTATATTTGTAGATTGCAGAAAAGCAAGACAAAGAAACCTAGTAGTGCTAAAACTGCACATGCATTCTCGCCCTTAGAAATGCTTACATAGTACTGAATATACCGTAATTTCTCTCCGAATTAACACATCCTAGACTTTATTTTTTGTAAATCTCAAACTTTCGAATAATTGAACAAGACGTTATTTCAAAATATATCTTTAAGGAACCAATTTCATTAACGTAAAATCTCTGTCTTTAATATTTTAGTTGTAGGAAGATTTTAAAAAAAATTAGAACTATTGCATTTTGTGAAAAATTGTGCTTTTTAACGAACATCAGATATGCACCATTCTCTTATTCATCCTACTCACTACCGAATAACACGGTTCAATGAAAAAACGTGAAACTTTTTTTAAATGCCTCCGGAGCATCATGCAAAGTACCCACCCAATTAAAATTTCTGTTTCAAATTCAAGGAACCACGACATCAGACAAATTGATTGCGGAATATCAAGTGTGGAGAAAACCAGCTGAAGCCACTAGCGTTGTTCACACATGGACAGACGTGTTGCCAACATTCGATTTTTTGGTATCAAGAATCCACAAAACATGGATTCTGGCTACACAATGTTTTAGAGAATTTTTTCTAAATTACCAGGTCCATTCTTCGTTACTAGGTCCATGTAATAAGAGTTTTTCTGTCGAAATTTCGCTTTTATTTCGCGCAGCAGTACATTACTTTCTCCCCACTGTATAAGCGGTAGCGAGAAAGCAAAAATCACATTCACCAAGAACCTATGAAGCAAAATTAGTGAGTATGATATGGTGGATCGGAAATGTACCACTTGGCTATAAAGGGTTAAGCTTCTTCTGCAGGTTTAGCTGCATTTTCAACTACTATCCAAACCTCAGACAAAATCTCAGTGTTATCACACATCAGTGCTTGTGTCTCATTCGCAACTAGTGTTTTCCTAATCTTACTATGATATTTAATTAAAATTAAAGATTTTTATAACTATAATCATCAATCAAATATAATTATTAAAATTATTAATACACCCTACTTCAGGTTTCGTGTTTTACCTAACGATTTTTAAAAATTGTTTCATTATATTTCCTTAATTTCTATCCCTTCTTCTATCACGTGCTTCCCATTTCATTTACTAGAAGTAGTTACCCTGAAAATCTTCTTTGATATAACCCATTTTTAATATGTTGTATTTCTTTTATTTTGCACTAAAATGGCATTTTTTACAATTGAATCGTTCCACTCTTCTTTGTCAAATCGATCACACCTCAATATACAGTTTCTGATTTCATAATTACAAACTCTGACACCACAAACGACAATAACACCAGTGATTTACAAATAGTATTTGTTTAGAACCGATGGTTTAAAAGAGTATCACCATATTTGTTCTTGTAATTTGCAGCACCTAACCATTAAACCTATTTTCAAAATATAAATTGAGACTATATTAGATGTTCATCGAAATAAATTAATTGAAAACGCATTCCATTACCTTCAACATTTAAAAGTAGCCTGCAAATAAAAAGTAGCGATTATATGTGGCCTGTAAATGTATTTCGATGCGCCTGGCGTAATTCTGAAATATGGAACTTTTAGTTTTCCACCAAAGTGTCCCTATGTACCCACACATGTTAATTTGCGTTAGCTAAACATTAGTAATTTAATTTTAATTAATGAATCAGTTCGCTCGAGTGTAAAATATGTTTCGATCTAACCGGTCGATAATCAGGTTTGAATTTCATAGCTGAGCTTCCCGTACAACCGCAATGATCTGGTAGCAATAGACGTTCCTCCATAATTAAATTTGGTTTATTAGTATGTAAGCAATATTCAAATAAATAATCATGGCAATGTTATCCGAAACTGTTGTAATTTAAACACTCTTTGGTATGCAATTAGCAAAATTGAATGATGATATTTAATATTTCAAAACCCCTTTGTTTGTACAATTCCTCTAATCCACTGTATTCAATTTTATGTGGTTGCAAAATGTATACGTTTAATATCCTTAAAAGAATATCACACATATCTAAGACCTTTTTGTGGGGATATCAATAAATATTTCCTATTGCGTGTATCTAAATTTTGCTTATTTTTTCAAATATTTATCTCTCTTATGTAAAATAAAATTCTTTTCAAATAAAAGAAAACACTCTGAAAATTGAAAACAAAACGCTTTGAAGGAAATCATTATTATACCTCTTGCTGTAAAGAACTATCACTCAAACAAAAATATATTTTATATTAACAAATTAATGCAAGTCAGTAGGAATAACGCAAAAACTACACAACTTGGGAATGATAAAAACGTTTGATTAAGTGAACATGACACCCAAAAATACGTTGAAATATTTTCAGGAACGAATAAAAAATGGAATATCAAATTATCAATAAAGGGAGGGCTCCTAAACAGAACATGAAAAAACTTCGCCAGCAGAACACCACACTAGAGGGAACGCGCAGCATGCTGAAATTCACTATAAGGAGAACAGAAACGCCCGAAGTTATGGTTCAGTATTAAGCGTCGAAGACAAATATAATGAGAGATGTTTGCAAACTCAGGAACAATACAACGACTTTGCACTGGGAACCTAGAGTTGAATCTTCGAACTTAAAATATTCGTTATCTTCGATTCGCTAACTCTAACGGGATGTCCTGACACGCTTGCTTCTTTACCCCCGAAAATATTTTAGTACTTTAAATATAAATGACTTTACAATTTTATGAATGTCAGAGGTTTAAATGAAACTCGCAACTATACCACACCGATAAATCGCTTTTTCGAATTTGAGCAAAACATGTTAAGAAAAACATTTCAGCTATTTTGAAGAAAAAATTGAAAATGTTAAAGGGACTTCTTGAAAATTAAAAGCGAAAATCTCTTATTAATCACCCGAGCGTCCCAATCTTGACACATTTGCCACGATTCTGCTCAAAAGCTCCAAATCTGTGTTACCCATGACACATCCAGCCATGCAGATAGACTTCCATTAACACAAACATCCCGATTTTCGAGTATACAATTGCGTCTTCACCTGCACCTATCTCTACAACTATATAAATAGCGTTAATATTCTTTAATTCTTACGCGTGTGCAGATTTAGGGATCAAAAGAACCTTAAACACTGATTTGACGTCCGAAAATTTGTTTGAATTGTTGAAGCTTATCTTTACAGTTTTATAGGGGGTATAAATAAAATCAGTGTAAACAAAGTCTGTAGACTGGAGATGTTTCTCTGCTAAAGGCATGTAAAACATGAATACCTGAATAAGAAAGTAAATACATAATTAAGCACAACACAATTATTAAGGTTATGTCGCTGATCTTGTCACCCATGTTAAAGTTCTACTGATATGAGTAATACACCAAACAACGATCATATATCAGTATCAGTGCTGAATACAACTGTCCGATTTTACATCACATGATACATTCCACGAAATTAGTAATTTACAAATTTTCTTTACGTATTGTGACAGAAAAGGAATATATTAGATGACTTAGTGTCTAATTTATTGTCAATTTATTACAAATCTGGTGTATTATTTCATCATGAATTGCCACACTGTGCAAAGTAATTTTTCCGTGAATTTCTTTTCGAACAAATACTGATGATGAATAAAAAATGAACTCACAGTACTGTTGGTATACAAGACTATCAATAAAAATGTTTGAAAGGTCATGAAATTACTTTTCAATGATAGCTATCACTCAGAAAAATATGAGTACATTTTCGTGTTTAAAATTTTCGTGTAAAGTAAGTTAATGGAACATAAACTTGACATCTGTTAAAGATCTGTTGTTGATATTGCCTTATTAAATTTATTTAATATAAAATATATTTAAAATTAAATTAAACCCCTGATTATTATATGAAGTTGTGTGAAATGTATCATAGATTTTTGTTCTCTCCGTAATATATGCTAGCAATTAGTTCAGACGGTAATAAACAGTGGTTGTTAAAATGACTAGTAATGCACCCCATTTTAGTACTGAGAATGGGCTCCCATGCATGTGTTGTTGAACGCCTTGAGCCCTAATGCCGACTGCGGTATGAAGAGGAGAGCACGGAGCGTCGAAGGTGACTGTCCCTCCTCCGGGAGATGTGGCGGAGCGCATCCGCGAGCGAGACGCGCAAAGCAGGAAACGCCGGGCGCGTGGGCGCGTGCGCGCGTGGGCGGTCAACTCACCGACGACGTTGAGGCGAAACGCCTGGCTGATCTTGGGCTCGGTGCTCACTTGGCACTCGTAGACGCCAGAGTCGCGCACCTGCGGCGAGCTCACTTTGAGCGTCCACTCGTCCGAGCCGTCCGAGTGCAGCGACTGGAAGCGCTGGTCGTTGGTGTAGGTGAGGATGCCCACGGTGAGGATGTGCAGGTCACGCTTGCGGATCCACGAGACGGCGCGGTCGCCCAGGTTGCGCACGCGGCAGTGCAGGTACGCCGTCTGCCCCACCGTCGTCGTCATCTCGCGCCGCGTCGAGTTGTCGAAGTAGGGCTGCGAGAACGGCTGCTCCCAGTAGGGCGCGTGGTGCTCCACCACCGACCCTGCGGGCACCAGAGAGAGCCTTAGTGAATGATGTTGCCTGGTGGGTGAACTCGGCGCCCCCCCACATCTCATAATTGCAATTTTTGAGTTAATTTTCATTATGTATCACCTTATCAGTTTTCAAACACATTTTTTACACATTTCAGAAATCAATTTTTAAATAATCAAAAAAAAACTGCTCATTTATAAAATAGTGTATTTTTACTAATAAAATTGCAAGATGTTTTCTTAACAGCCAATATATACATCGGACAGAAAACGTCTCCGCTGAGATGAAAATATTTTTTTCCAAAATGAGAATGTTTTAGAGTCAGTTTTTTCTGCAGTAATGATATAAAGGGATCGAACATTTGTGGAAGTTACGAGATACTTAATATAACAACTCATACATTCATGAAATCACTAATTCTACGAGTATAAGTATTCATTTGATAGTGACTTCAGTAAATTTTCTAACGTCACTATCAGAGGGTTTATATATGCATATGAACTCCAATACATAAGAGAGATAATGTTATGTTCGCATTACAAAAACTTTCTTTTTTGGTGATTAAGTGAGGCAAAGATAAAAATTAGGCTTCATTGTACAGAATACCACAACATATTTCAAACATAAAGTGACCAACGCAGATACAAACAAAAATTCTCATAATCTTCGGCCTTATCGTTTCGGTATATCGGTATCTGGTTTTTCGATCTGCGCAGTTCTATATCTGCCCTTTGACACTCTCATGCACTTACATCAGTCTCCCACTCCTTTGAACTGCTGAGGTCCCTACGCCAAAATCGTCTAGTTCTGACACAGCTGCTTCTGACTTAGGGCATTTGCGCTACTTACAATTGGTTAGATTTAAGAGTTCGACAAGTGGCATGCATGCCGTGGAACGTAGACCCGTAGACAGTGGATTACTCCCCCGTCTGCAGGCAGACCAACCGCACCCGAGCGCCGAGCATTGCCACCGATGACAGGGAAAGGGTCGGCAAATATTTTTTTTCTGTTATTAGGCGATACTTGATGGTACGGAAAAGTCCTTACATGGATCTACAACTATGATTCGAACCTGACGAACCCAGCGCACTCTGTACTATCACTGGGTAGACTACAATAAATACTCAATACTCTTAATCATAATACTTTGAAATTACTTATTACGGTCTTTGAGTGTAATGAAAATAGCCCCTTGTCACAAAAACGCGTACGTTTGGTTCCGTTCAGTTCGTTTGATTTTCCGATAATCAAACGGATCGCAGAGCAAGTTCTAGTGAAACGTTACTTTTTTATAATTATCATTATCCGCAGTAAGTCTATTTATATTGCTGAATGAGATATTGCTTGCTTTGTGGGAATGCTTATAAGGTGATGACTGTAATTACTTTATTATCTATGCACGTATTGAAAGATTGACGAAGTAAGCAAAAGGCTTAGATTCAATGCAACATACTTTTTTCGAAGCAACTCTAATCAGCGTATTCTAAACACCATGTATTTACCCAAGCAGTCGATCGCTTCCGCGAGTGAATTCTCGAATCTCATGTTCACCTCGCTGCTAGCACGAACAACGCCGATGGAGCGAGATCAGAATCAAAATAGAAGAGAGCGTCGCGTGATATACCCGAATGTGCATGTAAATGACGATCTACTTCCCTTGACTATTGCTCAGCAAACATGCTTCCGGTTACCATTTTGCTAAACTGAGTGGCGTACACGAAACAGTGCAACGTACGGCTGTAGATGCATGTTGAAGAATATATTATCTGTTATATATTACAAATACGAAATGCAATAGTCTTTATGGATAAGGACAAAAGCCTTCATCGAATAAAGATGTAAACTTCTTTTATACGTAACTCATATTAACCCAACGAAACGAAGAAAGGAGTGTGATTATTTTCAATGTGATCATTGCGAATATCTAGCCAACCTCTGTAACGTTTGGATGTGTTGCAGAAATCCAATCGAAGAACCAATATTTTATTTTTGATATATTGTCTGTATGAAGTTACTAAACAGCTTTAGAACGGCCACTAAGCAGCCAAAATATACAAAGAGTCAATTGATTTAATTATTTAGAAACAACACCCACATTAGTTACGTTGGCTAAGCTATAACTAACGTAGTTAGTAATAATATGAACATGAATTACCCATTAACGCTGCATGTGTAGCACTGATAGTGATCAAAGCAGTAGTAACATATTAGTATAGTATCCCAATTTTAAAATATTATCAACAAATCTATTAAGAATTGGGTTCTAATTCGTTTAACTGAGTATATAATATATATATATTTTTAGCATATGAGAAAATAATATTGTATGGTGTAAATTATTATTCTGGTGTTCTTTTAAATCATTTTAACTTATTTGAGTAGCATTGTGCGACTCTTACGTGCTCAGCATACTTTCAAATTCTTATCGTCAATACGGAAAAGCTCAAGGACAATGCTCACGCGCACTCTCGCTGATTCTTAGAATGATGTCTGGCCAGATATGTCTGAGCTAGACGTTGCAGCAGGTGTATGCATTTCCGATTGCCCCTCCTCGCCCGATCAATGGCGTGATCCGGGTGAGCTCTTACTTTCAGGATGCTCGTTGACAGGGCTTTCTTCGGAGACATATCGAAGAGGGGTCCGCAAAAGGAAGAGTGCAAAAATGGTTTCGACAACGAAGCGACGGCGACCCTGAGAACAGGGTGATGAGAGTTTAAAGAGCATGAAGAAAGAATACACTGAACGTTGTGTTGAGAAGGAAATAAAATAAAATATATAAATACCGGTGGAGAACTATTATGAAGGAGGGAAGTGAATATGTAGTTAAGAATTTAAAATAAAGAAAGAGAGAAAGAGGTTACAAAAAAGTTGGTAATCGAGGTATACGATGTTACAAGGCATAAAAGTTAACAAGAAGCGTTGAAAAAGTACAAGTACGGAAAGCGGAATAGAATGAAATAATTATGGGTCGTCCTTGCAAGCAATATAGTTATTTCATTATAAATGCATTGTAAATGCCAAGAAAAGTTCCCCACAATACTAGAACGGAATAAACATAAAAATGAGATAATTGTGATATTTCAGGGAAAACGGACCAGCAGATTGAAGATTGGAGTTCGAAAGATTGATAAAAAAATGAAAACATAACAAGAAAAAGTAGAGAAAATTCTCGGCGGCCAGAGAAGCAAAGAATGCAACGACATCAAAAGCCGCAACCAGAATGGGGTGATCCGAGAAGGCTAGACTAGCAGAGAACATGCATGGAGAGCAGAACGCTTCAGACAGAAGAGACATTCGAGCAAATTGCTCGCTTTGCTGGCGTGAGCACGAGGGAGGGGAGGGGGTCATGGAAGCCTCAGCCACGGTCACACGTCAGAAGAGAGGGATGAACCGCAGTTGGTGGTCTGACGGGGCTGGCGGGTAGGG